CTGCACTTTAAATCGATAACTTCTTGGCTTTTTTCCCTTTTCTGTTTCTACGAAGTGATCACGAATATCCTCAACAATGTCCCGACCACTGATTGCTATAAAAGAACATCGTAGTTTTTCTCGGGCTTGCCGTAAGGCTTCCAGAAGGTCAGTGGCATAATTGCCACCTTTACTCGATGTGCCTCCATTAACGACCACAATGCGTTTCAAACGAAGCTTGAACAAAGGAAGTAAACCCAAATTCTCGGTATGACCACTGTAATGTTCTTATGTTTTGGATTACCTGTGTAACACGTGGGTAAATAAAGACGACTCGGATCCGCCATATTTGATTTGGTCTCTTGTTATTTCTCCTTGTTTATATACTGTTTATATACTTGAGAAAACGTAACAACCACCATCTGTCAAGGAAACAACTGGAGGAGGTGTCGATTCCACGTCTTTGATACCTAAAAAGATTCGCATAATTCTTATGTGGAGAATATGAATGATGCAACACCTGAAAGGAAAGTAACAAAAGGTGTGAAGAATGCATCAAGCGTGGTGTTAATAATTGATGTTAAAATATTGCAAACGATTAAGTTACCTTGTAAATGTAACAAAAATCCCTTTGTTGTCTTTTCCGAGATCTGTTGGCATCACAGCAATGAATCCTAATACTATGAATGAAGTACAGAGGAGTGCCGTTATGATCTCTTGCCAGAAGTCCCAGTCGACAAGTATTTCAAAGTAAAGTCCCGCAGGAAGAAGAATGATGACAGATCCGGAAATCACTTGGAGAAGCAGCGTCACTGCCTAGAAAACAGAATATTCATTAAATTCTTGTTTTATAATAAGTTTTTTTTCTAATTTTAACCTGAAAGAGAAAAGAACGAAAAAAATTTAATAGTGAAATAGAAATAAAATATTATCATATGAGAACCATTCCCACCCCGACTTCCTTTAAAAAGAGTAATCTTAATCTTTTGTCACTAGCGACTCGCAACCTCTCGGCACGAAGTCTAGTGTTAGAGCACGTTGAATGGAGACCATTAACAAATCAAAAAATTCGACTTAATCTATCACCCAATCAAGAATAAGCTAAGCTCATATCGACAAAGGATAAAAAAAATTGATAAAATATTACGTAGGAATCTGTGATGGTTACAAAATATTCATCTCCACAAAATTTAATTGATTATTATTCCACTCAAACTTTAGTTAGTAAACACCTAGGCGTTAGTTTCAGTATCAATATTCTACCTATGTTAAGGAATTTACACGAATACTTTGCAATTTTAGAGAGCAAAACAAGATCAGCCGTAGTGGGCGAGCTCAACTTGCGGACGGAATACGCTCTAACAGACTCTGATAATTTTTTTTATGAGAGGATCGATACGGTTAGTTTTCGTTGTGAGTTATTTTACTCTTAAAAACTTCACGGGTGCATCATAGTAAACGCAAACAAACCGCCTTAATATGTTATACTTTAATTTGAAGCTAAATGATTAACCCAACCGTCTTCTGTTGGTTTGCGACTGTGCGAAGATTTTAGAAAATAAAATAATTACAAGAATTTCCTTATCGGTCCTTTTAAAATACTACAGATATGTCTCACGAAATCTATCGTCAATGTATTACATATTCAACGACATGGAGGTCCTTTTTGAAAACCATTCTTTGTAAATGAAAAAGTTTCCTCAATAAAGATTATTATTATTATTGACATCGAGTGTCCAAAAAGTTAACTTGACAAAAATTAAAATTAAATTAAAATTATTTTATTTTATTTTATTTTTTTCATTGTCAGTAATCAGTACGTGGTTTCCTTTGAAGCTAGTATTTTGCGATTATTTAAGATTTAGCATCTCAGACCTATTGTTCAGTTTAATAACTTTTGTCATCTTTGTTTTCAAAAAAAGACGAGAAAATATTTTTTTGTTCTCGCTGGATAGCAAGGAGCAAAGGGGGTGGACTTAGCCAATCCCTTCTTTTTTTATAACTGTAAGAGATACCTGAGCTTGACTCGTGGCTAGCCTCAAACGAGATTACGTGCCCGCAGTTATTAAACAATCTAGTCGTGGCATAAATAGCAATATATTCATTGTGTTCATAATTGTGGTTTTACGTAATGATTTGCAAATGGGCAAAGGATGATATGCAGAGCTAACTTATATTGCTTTTAACATCGGCATTGTCAGCGGACAGGACATAATACACGGGGCTACCACCCCATGGGGAGTTAATTGCCACAAACCGGAGAATTGATTTGTCTCATAGAGAGAGATAAGTAGCACAAAATAAGCACAGACAAAATGTTGAGAATCCCAACTCTCTCAAAAAGAAAAGCATCAATCTCGTACCCAGAGCCCGCACTATTGCCATCCAACGGAAGTCAATGCGTTGAGACTCTGGAGGAGTCCATTTTTTTCGATTCGTGATTGGTTGAAAATGACGCGAGCGCGCATTGTTTTCAAGTCGGTTTTTCAAGTCGCCAGCACGCTCTCGCCTCATTAGTCAAGAAAATCATCCTTTTTTCTCATAACCACACATTTTTTCACACATTTTTGTTTTCAAAAACGTGTAAATATCGTTTCTGCACTAAGTTGTTTGCTAAACCTTCTTCATTTTTGTAATTTTAATGCTCTAAATGCAGAAAACAAATTTGACCTCATTTGCATAATTTGCGACGGAAAAGCGTCAAAAATCCAGTCGATTCCTCCAGAGTCTCATTGTCATCCGCTGGATGGCAAAAGTGTGGGTTCTGTGTAGGAAATTGGAAAAGCATCAGTCAATCAGGCAAAATCTTGCACAAGTTAATTTTTATGCTGCCCTAATTAATGCCAAACTACAGAAGGAGTGAGACAGTGACGCTAATCATTAGAGGCAAGTTGCCATAGTTCTCAACAAGATGTCGAGATGAAGATTATCAAATATGCCCCAAATCATGTTTWGCAGAGTCTCTGAATTGTCTTTAATGGAATCTTAAATAACTATAGATTCAAATGATGCCTGAAAATTGCTTCTATGTATGTTGTGTATGTATAGAAAATTACTGGCAGGTATTATTTTTGGTACTGTCATTAATAATTCAATTCACTTCAATTTTTAATTTTGCCATATATTTTAAAGCTGAAGTGTTCTTCGGAGTCCTGAGTTAGCTATACTATGGAGAAATAGCAAATCGACCTCCTCTGTAATAATGAAGCTATTGATATTCGCGCTTATCCAGGTACGTGAGAAATTTTTATCGTTCATCTATAAATAGGTAATCCTCCTAGTTGAACCTTCTTTTTAGGTGCRTCAATAAAAGACACAATCACTTTATCGTTTTGTACTTATCCTGTTTGAATATATAGTGCATCAAATGAAATTGTGTAGCAACTCCCTTTCATTGTTACTTGGATCTATATATTTTGATTCTTACAGTAAATTTCATCCGTTTTGAAATTTTTATGTCTTCTTTTCATTGGG